GTAAATCAAATATGTAAATACGCTACAATACAATACAAATCTTTTGAGCGCTTTTGGGCGAAGTATGGCCACTGCCTCAACTGACACTAACAGATCCTATCCTACTATGGAGAGTCTACCTGCACATCCAGATTAAACTGCTTGGCAAACTCTTCTGCTTGGTCCAACTGGTTTCTGCTCAACAATCTTTGGAACTTCATCTCTGGTTGAGATTCAACGATTTCTCGCACTTTCACTGTGTCTCCATCAGTTCTTAGAATGATTCCATAAAAAAGTTTGAGGAAAAAATCATATACTATTAGACTCACAGGACTTTGGTCCCAAAAGGTTCCACAAGCAAGATTACACGGTCAGCGGTCTTTGATACAGGCAACAGTGAAGTCCCTTCGGTAACGGCAACACGGTAAGCAACTTCAAGAGACTTCATGTAACGAACTTGCATCTATGGAAAAACATCAAACATCAACATCATCTGCACAATAATGGAACAATCACCTCAACATGATCACCGCACTGCACAACTGTAGCAATCGTGCCAATTTTTGGATTCATTCCAGGCTTATCAACGAACATAAAATCGTAGAAGAGCTCATTCTGGAAAGAACAGGCCCCGGAGAATGAAGAAAGACACTGCAATTTCCATGATTCAGAAAGCACCGACCGCGTTTGTCCTGATGTTTTTTCTACAGAGGGTAGTGAATGTCCACAAATCGGTCAAAACGATGGTCCCATCTATGGTCAACCCCACAAGAAAACGACCATTGCTGCAGCTGCGTACTCTTACATAACAATCAGCTAGAATAGATAGTTTTTGAAAACCATTCAGTAAAAAAGTCAGATCAGCTAACCCGTCTCGGCATCTCCCAAAGATTCAAATTCAAGGGATTTCTTCGCCATCGATAGTTGTAGAGGAACTTTCTCTTGAGGGGCCTAAACACACGACAATTGATCTCAAAAGGTTCACATAGTAAAGGTCTTACCGTAATAACAGAGCTTGCTACACTGACAATATTCTTTGGTATATATTTGCTCTTAAGAACCGTAGTTTCAGCATTGCTCAGTGACTGAACGTTTGTTCTTGTATCTATGCCTTT